ACTTTGATATTTTATTATTGACTACATTATTTGAGGGTTTGGACATACAATTGGTGTTTCTTTTATTCTGCCGATACCTGGTTTACGATGGTTAACGTACATTATGACTGTATATATGCTATTTCCGCCTATCCCAACAAACCCATTCGAATTCATTCAACTCGTTCAATACAATTCAACTTATTCGATTTATTCAATTACCCTTTGACATGAGGAAATGGCGCTATATCTAATGTCTTTTGCCTGGATGATTCAAAAAATCGCCGTTCCATTTTTCAACGAATGCAACTCTAATTTAATTCTATTATCCTTTTTGGCACAACCTTTACCTCTTTTTTTCCATACTTTGAACATGAGCCACGGGGTCCATCCCAATCTCATTTGATGTTGGAAAATCAGTTATTGATATTTTCTTTCAATGCATCTAGGTAATGGACAAATGGAGACAAGGATCGGTAAGAATGATCCCGCCTTTCTTGAGGCACGTCTCCTACGTGAACGTCCATGCCGCACGCTATTTGTGAGAAACATACAGGTATTGTTTTAAAGCGAGATGTGATGTACATTTGTACATATAAGGGCGTGATGAATACGCATGAGGATTTGCTGTTGACGATGTGAAACACCGCATACTCGTTATTGTTCCATACAACTTACTGTCCAATTGTCTCATATATCCAATCTCTCACCGTTTACATGATGTCTTCAGTATAATCTTAAACTCGAAGAGATAAAAGCGAAGTTCGAAGAGTATGGGGAGATTAAAGAAATGTGTGATTTGATTGAAAAGAGGGGAATGGTATTTATAAGCTATGTAAGTTACCGAGTAGTAAATATTTATGTTAATCGATGAACTGTTCACGATCGTTATATCGTAATGGGAATATGTGAGTCGTGGCGCTTACCGTAGATTTTGTTGAACGCTTCGTAGCAATATGCCAAATGCAAATTTAAGGATAAATTCAAATAGTGGATTGATGGCTATCGATGTGGCGTTATATAACGTGCATGCTTATTCGAATATTATTCGCCGTAATGATTTTCTAATCGATTTATTTCCTTTGTCAGTATGATATCAGAGCATCAGAAAAAGCCAAAAAGGAGTTGCAAGGATGTGAGCTAGGCAGTCGTAAGGTATGGCAAACGCTCGCCATATGTTAATATTACAGATATATGGTTAATGATTAATCGATTCAAATAGATCGATGTCCATTATTCTCTTCCAAAAGACGATGATGATACTGTTTACTGTGATGGAGAAAAAAATCAGGTATATTGCGAAGCATTACAATATAGTAATGGGTAAGAGATCTAATTCACCGTTTGATGCAGGGTACATTATTCATAACATTAAAAGATGGAAAGGA